CAAAAATAATACTGTTTTCTATAGTTATCTATTAAACTTGAATTATTTTAATCGTATCTGGCAGCTACATTGTGCTTTTTTTTTGATATAATTATTTACCAATATTACGTAAAACGACCATTTCCAATTGATATGTTGCTTCTTCTTGTAAACCTTCGATAGTCACAAGTAGTTGATAAACTCTCTAAAAATTTTCTTATATTTTTTCTTTCAATAATAGTAAATTTTTTTTGCAAAATTAACAAAATTATCTGTTTCAGCAAAATTCGAAGAATTACAGATAATGTGGATTGAATAACATTTACAGCAGAAACCGTTTAGTTGAAGACAGTGAACATCTTTTTGATTAATATTTTTGTTCAAAGGAAAAGCACAAAAAATCTAAAACAAGTTTCCTCATGTTTCTCCATTCTTGCCAAAAAAAGCATAATATTATCTTATTGTCTTAGGAATAAAGTCTTTTTGTTTATTTCTGATGAATAAAACGATATTAAACCTAACGAAATATAACAGTACGATTTGAACGCTACTTTCCTGACTTTTGAAAACGCTTTCTGTTATCTTTGACTTAGTCCCCAGTAGTTCAAATTTTTGGTTTAAAAACTGACTTTTTAAGCTAACTTTTGATAAAGCGGTAATTTTGCTCAGTCTGAACTCACAGTACTTCCTTTTCAAAGTTATTTCTACAATTTTTTTCGTCAACAGAAATAGTTTCTTTATTGCAGTTGAGTACTCTCAGATGTTTTTAAAAAATAACAACTGGCAACATTTCTATATCATCTCACTAATCTTGTTGGTTAAATAACACAAAAAATTCTTTAAAAAAAACTTGAAAGGTTAGGGTGTTAGTTGCAATACTGTTTACCTGGACATCTTCGGTTTGGTTGTTTGCAATTAATGCAACCTCTTGTTGAACTACACTACGAGGCCTTAAAACCTCCTTGGCTAAAATTTGTAGTTGTTTTCGTTGGGTATTGTTCAGAACCATCTTACGAAGATCTTCAATATGCAAATAGGCTGAGCAAGTTGGAAGCAACAACCACAGGTAAGAAAACAGTATCTTCATCGCGTTCCTAAAATTTTTTAAAACAGTTTTGAACGTTGATAACTGCGCTGATAAAATTTAATTTGTTTAAATAAATTCGTTCTTTTCTTTTCATACTTTAAACAAAAAATCTGTTTTGTATCTGAAAGCACTTCTTTTCCGATTTCAGACGCTAAATTTACTAAGCAAGCTGTTCAGTTAAATTCAATTTTGGCTAATAATTTCCATTAATGTTTAAAGTATTCAACTGCTGTATACTGTAGCCACAATTGGAATAATCACAGAACAATGTCATCGATGATAAATTTGTTGAATACATTTCATGAAACAGAAACAGTCAACAACTGTTCAAAATTCAAAACTAAATTTTGACAGTTGCTTAACAAAAAATCTAATAAGTTATGGTTTTGACAAATTTCTAAATTTTTTTCTTATTCAATTTACTGACCACTGATGTTTATACGATGGAGCAGGCAGAAAGATCGACTTAAAAAGAATTGAATGATTGACACCTTCAGCAACAAATTGACTCAAATGACAAGGAAAAAAGCAAAAAGAAAAAAAAATATATTAAATTTTTGAAGTAAATATTAAGCTTAAAGATCTGAAGATGAAGAAGAAGAATTATGCAGTAACGACAGCGCAGCAATAAATTCCGGTAATTTTCTTCTGTCTAAGTAAAACTGGTTTTTTGCATGTTGTTTTTTTTCCTCCTCTCTCCTCCTCATTGCTGTATTACTTTTTGTTTACCAAAAACAAAAAACTTCTTTTAAACAACAAAATTATAGATGTTTTTTTTACTTTTACTACACATTTGAAAAGAAGTTAACAGTTCTGAAAAAAAAAAAAAAATCAGGCGATACTTTGCAGACAATCAATTTTTTTTACTGTTCTTATAGTTTGTCCAAGGAGAATATATTATGTATATTTGTACAGAATTGTGTAAGCAGATAAAAAAAGTAGAATACTTAAGAGAAATCGGTATTTTTTGAAAAAAAAATGGTTATTTTTATTTATGTATTGTAAAAATGTCGTTAAAAGGCGAAAAAAAGTGCTAAATGTTTTCATTATTTTCCTGTTTTTCCATTCCACTATAATTTAACCACTGTTAGCAATATTTCATTTAACAAAACCATGATACAAAAAAAAAACATTTCAAATTATTTCTACATTTACTCATATTGTAAGGAGGCCAAATTATTTGTCAGTGATCTATCAACCGTGTCTTCAAGTATTGCAGTGTATTCACTATTCTATTCAAACCTTCAGTATAGGGTATGTACAATAATTTCGGCAAAAACTCATTTTATACTGAAGAAGCAACGGCTAACTCCTCTTAACTTTTAACAAAAAACAATTTATTTCCTAGTGTTCCTATTATGAAGTACAGTTCTCATATAGACCTCTTTCCTTCTGTCGTTTCAACTTCCCTTTTTTTTTTTACAAAATCTTGTAAGATCATTCCAATGGCTTGCTACTACACTCAGAGCTCAAAGTGCAGCATTGCCAGCCTGCCAACTTTTTTAAATTTACCTCATCGAAGAAGGATACTAAACATAAGCATAAGTCCCAGATGGCGAAGGAACTCGTAGGCGTCATTTGCCGGAATACGCAGAATTTTCATGCAACAAACATTTCGTCCGGACTAATTTTAAGAAAATCTTTTTCACTAATGAAGTAAATATCTTTCAATCCGCTTAGCTGCTATACAAAGAAAGTGACAAAAGTGAAAATTTCTATTCTCACAACGCATTATAATAACGACTACTTTTACAGTTTGACTAGATATGCTTTTAAGCTACCACATTATGTAAACGAGATCCTGGCTACTAGAAGAAAAGAAAACAAAATGAGTAAGTTCATAGTGCTTATGCCTCTCATACAGTTGTTACAAACTTCTTCAATCATGCTTTTACCAACTAGTCAGCGTTTCTCAACTCAAAAACTCTCTCACGACTGATGTGCTTAATATATTGTATTTCAAAATTATCATATTTCCATATGTCAACTGAACCGCTTAAGTAGTTTTATTTTGTCATTTGACACTGCCTTTATACAGCGCCAGTCTTTCAATCCCGTTTTATCCAGTGAAGAAATTCACCATGAGGTTTTCTCATGTCGTTTTCTTCTCATCGTAATATTGAATATCAGATCAAATGCTAAGTGCTGTTGTACTGCTCTAATTCCCTGATTCCCATCACAGCTGAAAAGAGTGAAATAAGCTAATAATTAAGCACCAAAAAAGTGACCAGGTGCACAATGGCAAAACAAATTATACAAAATCCTTCACTCATACTATAATACAAATACAGACCTTTAAGTTAAGGCGACTACAGAAACATGACTCCTTCGCAACATTCTCATTAGATAACTGCCAGTCTATAGTTTCATTTATATATCCCTTTATACAGTTTTACTTTTAACAAACGTGGCACATTTCTCATCAGAGGTAAATTAACTGTAAAGTAATCAGAAGTCAAAAAAACAAGAGGAAGAATACATTTCATTCTTAAAGACTAAAGAACACATTGCTCCAGAAGAAGGCTGACAACATTGACTAAATGTTACCAGCATAAACGTTGCAGCGTTTTCAGTTCTTGAGTAGTTTCAAAAGGCTGACTCTTACGACAAAGAATTACTAATTCATAAATAACATCTCGGGTGATGTAAATCTATGTGAGCTAAAATACACTACGTTTTCATCCAATATGGTTTTAAGAACTACCCGTCAAAAAATTGAAAAAAAAATGGCTCAACCCAACCTTCCTTTGTCGGTCGCAATGCAATTTATGCAAAATCAACAGAGATAAATCAGCATTTTCCGCTTTCTTCAGGTATACACCTATCCATTATAAATTTTTTGTTTTTTCAAAATTAGCAAGCTCTGCAAGCATCAAGACAAACGATCGTTTGTCCACCTAAAAATAAAACTTCATTTAAGTATAACACTAATATCTAGATTACGGTACGTTCATTGAAAAATTAGCATCACTTATGTTGATTACAATTTTTAGCAAAAATTTTTGAACAAAGAGTACAATGATTGCCAGGTTTACAACTGAGAGCAGCATTCCTTATAGCACGATAAACAAGGATAAAATAAATTATTTTAAGACAAGGAAAAGTCTGACATAAGAAATCTTATATCTGGCTTAAATTTTCAGGAGCAGAAGATACTAACATCTAACTGGTAAAAAAAGGTGGAACAAACATCCTAAACTAAAGTAACTAAAACTTTTTAAAAACAAGACTCCTCGAGCAAATCGTTTGAAAAACGGGGTACACAGACTCTTCTTTGACTGAACAGGACGTGGAATTGTTTACTTGAGATTTGATAGTAGGATATAAAAGTAAGAAGCTCGACTAGTGATGTAAGCTCTCCCAGTAGTCTTAACGTACCAACTACTTAGAGAGTAAGTTTCCTAGGCTTTAGCTCATGTAAAAGTTCGTATTTCTAACCATTCTCCACTTAGGATTCACAGACACCAAAGAGGAAGGTCACGCTTTGTAAAGGACCCTCGTAAGACACCTTCCATCAAGGAACATAGTAAATGTTTTGCACGTCCACCTGCGCTATAGAACAGAGCTGATATATCATAAACACCCTGCAAAAGACCAAAACAGGAACCACAATTCAGACCAAAAGCAGTTCACAATTTTTCTTCGCCAGAATCAAAACGAAGCTTTTTCTAAGATATCTATAAATGATAATGAATAATATACTGTGCAAAAAATTTGGCTGAAAGTGGGTTATTCTTTGTTTATTGGTTTTCCACAAATTTGGTGTCATAATTACTGAACTGTAACTGCATGAAATCTTGCGTGTCTTCAAGAGCCGCATGATTATTTGCTTCGGCCTTCTGAATGCGTGCAGTGATTCCACGAATTACTCTGGCTTAGAAGAAAAAATAAATTTTACTTAAAAGTGGATATTGTATAACTAAATTGATGAGAAGCAGACCGTAATAATAATCCTCTTACGCCCAATTTTCAGTGTTTCGACCTTCTCGCCCGACACCTTGTCCACTAAAGAACATCTGGTCTTTAAACATGCGCAACGCAGAAATCGCATTTGTAACATCAGCGAAAAGCTGCTTAAATTATAGTCAAAGGCAATTTTACCTCCAAACCAACATTGTTGTTCAATTTTCCTGTGCCATTTTTCTTAGACTGATGCCCTAATCGCGCTTCAAAGGTTGTCAAGGCTTTCAGTGGCTTCATCTGCTTCGTTACTGAGTTTAATAAACCACCCTTCAATTCCCTCTCTAAAAGTTCTTACCACTTCCGACCATAAGCAATCTTTTTCAGCGGCTACGAAACGCAAAGGTTACAGTGAAACAATAGCAACCGAGTTGTTGCTTGATGGTTCATAAAAAATAAGATTTTCAAGGAGTGATAATTTGTTGAAAATGGTAACCAGTGTCACCATAAAAGAAGTCCAGCTGGATTTAAAACTTCCAAGTATTTTAAAAAAGGTTTAATTACTTAGTTTTGAAGAAAGGGGAGACAACTTTATTATTTCGCCTTTCAAAAGGTTTTATACACTGCTAGTCAAGATGCGAAACATAAGTAATTGAACCCTTTTGTCTCCAAGCCGTTACGATAGCGAAGCATATGTTAAAATTGGATACGAAAAACAAAGGCTATCAAAAACAACAGAGTATAACAAATGTAGACACGAATTACACAAAAAAAACGTTATACAGAACTCACTGTAATCAGCTACTTTTCAGATAAAATCTTGAACTCAAAAATCTACCAACAAGTGAAATATAAATAAAGCTTCAAAGGTGTCACAAAATTTAGAACCTGAAACGTCTCTTTATGAGCGAAGAAGATAACATAACTATTCTGTAAAATAACGGAGGGAAGTTGCGTTCAAACTTCTTTTTCCACAGTATATTATTTAGAGCGGAATTTTTAAAGTAGCTAAACGAGGAAGTGTATATATTTTTTTGCTGCAAATCCCTTTTTGTATATTTACAGCACTTAAGACAATTTGGCTTTATCCAGTCTGCATAATAACATTGGTGGAGTCTTGTTGTAAAAGATTTCATTAAGTTTAAAACTAGTGGCTTGGGGTCTCTCGTTTCGATTTTAAATCTTGCTTGTGGAGCCTAATTAAAAAGATTTCTGGCAAATTTAGAAAAGAAAAATTGGTTTTAAATGATCTACGGGGTAATATTAGTGAAGTCAACTGACTAGATTACGTCGTATTGATTTCAGTTCGTCGTGAAGCAAATAAGCAAGTTTTGCCATCTTTTTTAGAAAAGCTCTTAGCTCAAAACTTCTTATACCGATTCTAAGTCCACCTATGAAGTGTAATCGCTAGAAAAAGTTCCAGCAAAGTTTTGCTAAACAAATCTAATCAACGTTAGACCCAAAATAAATAAATTTTTATCCTGTGATTCTAATTATAAATCATGCAATGACTGTTCAAATTTACGAACAACTCAGTGTTGGTACAAAATACAAAACTGAAGATTCAATAAATAAGTTGTTATAGAGCTAGAAGTTTCTGTTATATAGAAGTATAAACAGAAGCCCTCAAAAATTGTTAGATAAATGTCAAAAATGGAAATTCTTTCGTAATACTCCGATCCAACAATGATAAACAAATGAGCATCTGGACGAACAAATGAATAGAACAGAATAATCTTTCATAAAAAGTGTGTTCTAGTTTCAAGGTAAGAATAAAGTAAGAAACCTTGATACTTAGACAATGTTGCTGAAATCAAAAACTTTGAAGCTTTTTTGAAATTTGTCATCTTTTCTTCAACCTGACACATCGCAGTAAGATTTGTTTTGCCTTATTTAGTGTCAAAAATCTGAGTCAGAAAGGACCGCCGCTATTACTTACTAAAGACCTGATGTTATCCTTTGTCAGTACACTTCTCTCTTCTAAATCTACACACTTCTAGCGTTAGTCTACAGCAATAGTAAACTAAGATTGTAACGGTTCGAGAAACAAGCTGATACGCTGAATGAACTTCTTGGTTCCATTTCAACGAGAAGGTCCGGCAATTTTATCAAATTCAACTTAGACATCTGTTACTTCATCTGGTTCGGGAACATAGTCTTCAGTGACGATTTCCTCTTCACTCTTATACGTCGTTTTGCGTTCATTCACGTCAATTTTATAAGAGCTCCAAAACTAGAATGTTAGACATTGATAAGCTGCTACAAAGCAGTTTCTTCTGTCACAGAACGGTTTCGCACTCAGGAAAAGCTAGAAATACCCCATATTCCAGATCTTGCAGGAGGTGAACAGCAGTTTTTAAAACGTATGCTCCAGCGCTGTAGCACAACATCATTTTGTTATCGGTTTACTAACTTTCATGGAACATTTTTCAGTTAAATATGCATTATTTCCGCAAACTTTTAGCAGCAACAGTTTTGCCTGAATTTGGGAAAATGTAGTGGATTATTCCTTTCACCAACTACGGAAACCCGACGACGATCTTCGCTTAGTGAGCAGCTAACTATATATATAAATGTCTGATCTAAGGCGGTTCCATAACCGCACAGTTAATATTTAGCTGCAATTTACTGCTTCACAGCGGTTTCAAACGCTGGGGTTTCAGAGCGCATTTGAAGCTTTTGGGTTAAGATTTCTGGGGTAGTTCTGCTTCATGAAGGTACTTTAAACGGAAAGATTCAGATGATTCAAGTTCATTGGTGGGTAGTTTTGTCACAGAAAGTTTTTTTTGTATTAGATGGGTTTGGGAATCGGAAAGACGGGACCCATATATGTGGCAGTGCGATAAGGGAAACAAATATTAATTATGTTAGTAATTTGTACTTTTTCTTTAATTTGAGTTTGTTTCTTTTTCTGTTTGCTATTTCATTCAAGTAGTTTTTTAAAAGTCACTGTTCTTTGCATTAAAAAGTGAATGCCGGTTTTACTTCATCAGTTTCAATTTTATGAAATTCGTCAGAAATTTTATAGTCTGAAGAACGGAACCTCGAACAGTTTTTTATAACCTTATTGGCGGTTTACCTGTGTACGGATATTTTACTAAAAGCTGTCTCTCGTTAACCTTTTTTACCACATCTTTCTTTCCTAACTTTATAGACTCATGATGTTGTAAACTTCAGTTTTTTTTTGGATTTACTTATGACTACCTTCTTTTTTCTTATGGGTAAAAAGTAGTGAGAACCTATGACTGATGCAACTGTATATTAATAACTTTTCACCTTGCATCAAAAACAGTTTATAATTTAATCATGCATTGCCTGTTCCGTGAGGAGACATGAGTTTGATGTTGGCATTTTGAACCTAATTCTTTTAATTTATCTTTCTATATTTTTGTCAGGGAGATTGTACTGGTATACTTGCTCAAAAGAGTGGAAGTTCATTTTCTGCGGTATGTATTCTTGTCAAGCAGTTTTCTTCAGTTTTAATACCTGGCTCTTTTCAGTCGCCACTTCAAATTGGGAGAGAAGAGATTCAAGATGTTGATGCCACAGAAGAATAGGAAGGCAATATATGAGTACCTTTTTAAAGAAGGTGTTTGTGTCGCAAAGAAAGATTTTAACCAGAAGACTCATCCCGATATTCAAGGGGTTACAAATTTGGAAGTTATTAAAGCATGCAAGGTTTGTCCCCCCATCGAGATTGCGAAAGCTTTCATTTTATTTAAAAAAGTTTTGATTCTCAACATGAAAACGATTTCTTTTGAGTAAAAATTTTGTTTCTTTGTTTTCCATTTTGCGGTCACTTTGTTGTCCTTTTATAATTTAATAAGCTGTTTTGTTTTTGCTGTTGAAGTAGTAATATTTGATGTGAAGGAACTCAGAATTTGTTTACAAAGAAAAAGAGTAGAAATCTTGTTTTTTTGGAGCGGTCATATTTCAGACTTCTACGCTTTCAAGCCTTCTCCTCAACCCTTTCTTGATGGTGGGTCGCTAAAGCACTGCTTCGTACCCACTTCTTTCTTGTTACAAAAAGAAGGACTTTAGGTTTTTCTTGCTTGATAGAAAAAAACTTATTTGTCTTGTATATTCTTTGGCTACAATGGACACGGTACTCTAGGAAGTTGATAATGTTCCTTGATATTTCTTTAAACTTGTAATTTAAACTTTTTCAGAGTTTGGCTTCCCGAGATTTTGTAAAAGAACGCTTTGCTTGGAGGCATCATTATTGGTATTTGACAAATGAGGGAGTTAACTATCTCCGAGAATATTTGCACCTTCCGGCAGAAATCGTGCCAGCTACTGTTAAAGCTAAGCCAAGGGAACCACGACCTGCCTTCGGTGGCGACCGCATGCCTCGCGGTTTGGTTTTCTCTTTTTGTCGAAGTGTCCTATTTGTTTTTACTATAAAATTCGACAATTCTGACTTATTTCTTTCTATATAACCTATGTTAAATTTTTAAAATGAACTTGCTGTCATTAGATATATTCCATATTTAGGCCCCCGTATGGATGCAGAAAAAGATGCTTATAGGGCGGAAAAGACGACGGAAGCTGGTCCAGGTGCCGCAGCTGTTACTGGTTACCGAGGAGGATTTGGAAGAGGTGCTGCAATGTGAAGTGATGGTTTCGGTTTCTAAGTTTTATTCCGCTGTCATTGTTTATCGTTTTCTGGTTGGCGAAGTAAATTTGTTATAACTTTGACTGCTTTTTGCAAGTCATTATTTGTTATTTTGCGGTGGTAATAGAGAGATAGAGTGAAGGTGAGTTTGTTGATTTGGGCAACGAAGTTCCTTATTTTATAATTGTTGTGACTAGTGAGAGATGGGATTGTTAATAAAAATGTAATTGCGTGTTTGAGCGTGAAGAGTACATTCATTTGACGAAGCAGTTCTGCTACACTGTAGTTCCTCCCTTATGATTATGATTTCTTGGTTTAATTGAAGCTAGCAGTGACAGTTGCATAGTCAGCTTTGTTGCCGAGGTGCTGCAGGTTTTGCTTAAAACTTTGGAAAGGAAATTTTGGGGCGGACACTTGTGGCGCTGTGAAACAGGAGGGTGAAAGGCGGATTAGAATTGGTGTTACCAGTGGTGTTTGATCGCACTGTACCTCAGTGTAGTTTCGTGTTTGCCAGCTTTTTAGGTTTACGGTTTTCTGTCACTTTAGCTCCACAAGTCATGAGCTTTGTATCTAAAAAGTATATGCCGTCCTAAGAAAACTTTTCACTTTACTCGAAGGGACGTCTGTGATCTGAGTGCGTGTAATTGTGTTTACTTCAGCAGCACTTGTACCGCGATTCTTTAATTGGTACTATACCACTGAATCCCACGCAAGCGAAGCAGGCAAACAGTTAACTGGGTACCTTTTGTATAAAATTGGTTTTCCTATTTTACAGAACTTGCGGCGCAAGAAAAATACGCTCGGAGTGAAAGATTGAAGAGAAATAAGTTACCGGAATCTGGTTGTAAAGCTTTCAAAGCGACGTTTTTGGCCAATTTTTTGAAGCACTTTGCGCGCTCATGGCTGTAAAGCCCTGAATTTTCTCGTACTTCTAAAAGAGGCCCACAGTTGTTAAAACTTTAAGCCAGTAATCAGTAACAACTCTGTATCGAACATGGATTTTTTTTACTTCATCTTTTTCGTATGCAGTCCTATGTCGCCCACATTACAAAGAAAATTAAGTTTTTAAGTTTTTTTTTAAGTTTTCGCTGTTGAGAATGAGGCATGTGGAATTAGCCGCAAATTAAATAATCAGTTCACCGATGACGCCAACAGTTTCATATTGGCATTAGCTCACGATTACACATTTTTTTCTGTATTTTCTTTCCCAGCTTTCTTTCCAAATTTTCCTCGATTTGTTCTTCGTAAAATTATTGCATTTCAAACTGTAGAAATTTTATGATTATGAATAACAGCTTGATTTCGACTGTTCATTTATCTGTCTTAGTGGACCCTGCTGCCTTTATTTATTTTCAATCCCCAAATTTCTCTTTTATGATACAGGTTAAACTTGTATACTTTCTACCACATCACTTTTCCTGATATCTCTGTTTCTCCGACCATCCTTAATGTTCAAATTTCTTATCTTTGTTTCATACTCAAAACTGGTGAGGTTTTCTGAAGGCAATGATTTATAAAACTTTTCAGATTTTTTTGCTAGTAAAGAGAGTCAAGAAATTTTTTATAAGTGCTATAAATCACGAATTTTAATTGTTTTCATCGACTTTTTTAATTCCATTCTCTCCGACATTCATTTGAGACTGGGGAAGATTGAAAAGAGAAAACAGCAGAAAAACCTAGCGCCTTCAAGTTTCAAACAACAGTTCATTTAGAAGCATCTACATCCGTAAGCATCAAACAACTACCAGAAAAATACAGTCGGAGGAAATAAAAAAGAAAAACGACCACACAGCGAGAACACATAACTGTATCTATTTGCAATGTGCATATCTCTAAAAAACTTACGATAGGATGAATGGGATAACTCTTGTTATGCAAGACGAAACTGCTTGATACAGTCACTTATCATACCTACTCAATTATCCACCTTGTACAGTTGCTTCAAAACTGTAAAAGCATATTGTTAAAATTTTGAACAAGTTTACGCGTCTCTTACGAGAAATCTTATAGGAAACTTCTACCCAATTTAGAATACCTACTATAGTAAGATTCAAACTCTGCCCTCTCTTCATAATCCTCAAAACAAGACCCTTAAAACGCTTTATCGCAACAAGAAAAAAAAAGTGAATTTGAGTTTTTTCCAGCAATGTCTGAGTTTAGCATAAGATGTCTGGAAAGTTATGAAAAAGCGAATTGTTATACCCAAATCTGCAACAGATAAATGCAGCTAAATCAAAAACGATGTAAACAAAAAATAAAGGTAAGTTGTTCGAAAGGAAAAATGAAGTCAACCAAATAAAGTGCTAAAAACTTTTAAATACATTTCTGGTAATGTTATTACTTCTTCTGCTGAACAATTACAACAGCTATTTTCTTAGTAAACTGCAATTTCATCAACAAGTTAATAATCATGTATAAAATAAAAAAAAGAATCGAAGTTCTTGAATTTTCATTGTTAAACAGTTTAAATACACTTTTGACAACCATTTCTACAAAAAAAAAACAGTTGAAGCTCTCTTAAGCTAGTGTTCCCAATCGTACAGGTCACTTAGATTCGTTTTCCTATATGAAATTCATAAAATGAACAACCGTAGATGTATATATTATAATCTAATAGCAGTCCGTTAGCAACGGCCTCTGATATGCATCATGTCAGTTGCATCAGAAATGTAACATTCGGAAGGTTTTGAGACGATTGTAAGTGGTTATTATCTCTCCCTTCTGACACTATTTTTGGTTTAGAGAGGAAAGCGATTGGCAGTGTTCCAAGAGGCTGAATTTTTTATGGGCGTTTAACGCTTTCTGCTGAGAGGTTTGTGATTATTACCAGTTGTCAGGCGTCCAGAAAGTTTTCAAGAATCCCATATCTTCAGGTAGAAGTTTTACTTTAGTTGTTAAGTTCAAATATTTACTCTCGACCAGTGTTTATATAATAATGGGCTTGCTTTTCACTCTATCTTTTTTTTTTTTTCAATAAATTCGTATTTTATTCAGCTGATCTACTAACATATAAATGTGGATGTTTTTTTTTTTTTTTTTTGTTTTTTTAGTTGTTTGTACTTTTATGGTAATCTTTCAATTTGTAATTGGGTTTCTAATGTTATGGCAACTTCATCTTTTCCTTTTTTTTTTTCTGATTTTTTTTTTCATATCAAACATTTTCAGTATTTTAAAATTGGTCGAAGAATTTATAAACTCTATGTAATAGTTATTTTAACGCTTTTTAACTGCTACAAATAATTGACTGCCAGTATGACTTTGTAGTCAGTGCAGCATCGTACACTAGACGCTACTGTTTTAGTAACACCGTTAATTCTTTACAGCTAGCTGGTACAAAGACTGATTCTTATGTATTTTTTGCTTTCCAAAACATTTCATTTTTGATTAACTTAACTTTTTTTCAAGTACTAGTATTTCGCTTACATCCTTGAATAACTAGTATCGGTTGTCGTTCTTCAAATAAACCACTATATAAAATATCTGTCACGAGACTTATTTGGATGTTAGTACAAACAGAGTCGTAGATCAATAACAATTTTGTTTTACGGTTTTTTTTTCTTCAAAGATGAATTTGTTTCAGAGTTTGATTGGAGCTTTTTTTTGTGTTGTCTATTGGTCTGTTTTCCTCGTGAAAAAACCTCTTCCTGCCTCTGTTGGAAAATTCCAAGAGTAAATTTTTAGCATGTTTTGCCTTTGAGTTAAAAAATGGAGGAAGAAAGGGAAAGAGAGTGATGCAGAAAATCAAAGAAACAGCAGATAAATTTGTAGTTGGAGTAGCTTTTTTTCTTTACTGAATAGAAAGCATACAACTAATATGGTAACGACTTTGACTGAAAATTTCCAGTGCTTCTCATTTTAATCGTTTTCCTGGTTCTATACCAAGGACTGAAAAATACCGGGTTTGTAGTTTTTTGTACTAACACTATTATCGTAGGTACTAGATTCGCCACCTTTATGAGGTTTGTGGGTATACTGGGGTTATATTATTTTCAGATTTAAAAATGAGAAGTTGCGGAACCGCTTATGCAGTTTTTTGACTCATTCTTCGTCACCCTTTCTAAGCTTTTTTTTTTTAGGACTTTTTGCCTTTTCACATTGGAAGGGTCTCCTAGTTTTTTGTCGATTAGTGATAACTCTGCTAAATTTAGATTGAGGCGCGCAGATTGACTCGATTTTTTCTAAGTCATACTAACTTAATTTCACAGAAAAATTGACCCAAGTGTGAAAAGCTATAGATCAGAGGAGGCGGAGCTGCAGTACCTCATGTTTTCTGTTTCCTATCGCATTGTGAAGCAGTCACGAAATAGAACAGAGGGTGAAAACAAAGTCAAAGAAACTTAGAATCACGTAATTTTAGCATTAATTCAGGCAGTGAGTAGGAATAGATTGAGGAAAAAGAACATAATACGTATAGTTTTATCCTCCAGCAAGCAGCAGTTTAAGGAATGGGTAAAAACCAACAAAAATGGTAGCTTTTTGTCCAGTATTTATGGGGATGAAACGCGGTAGGTAAATGCAACTCAATTTTTTCATAATTATAGCAGCTAGCAGCTGCGATTGTGGTTTCTTTCATATATTCCTAGTTTGTTTCAAATTTGTTAGTGTAACTGCCTCCATCAGCTATTTTTCTGCAAGGGTCACTTTTGGGGAGGGATAGAGCAGGAGGGAGGAGGAAGGGTCGAGAAAAAAAAGTAGATAGAGTAGAGAAGAAATGTCTGTTTTTTTTTACAGGAAGATGAGTTACTCCCGATCTTCTAATCACAGGGATCACCTGACTTTAAAGATTATAGTGGGTTTTTTTGATAGATGTATTGCTTCGTTAAGCTTTGTAAACCTGGGATTTTTATTTCGCATACCAGCAATAATAAAAGTTTGACAGGACTTATAGGAATTATTTGGAGACATTTGTCAGCTTTGTTTTTAACAAAAAATCTGAGATTTCTTTGGTGCTCAAGTTGAACAAAAATAATATTTCTTTGCGTTTTTAGATATGAGGCATCTTACGCAGTAGGTTCCCAGTGATCGGGCCTTATCAGTATGTACTAGCCACAGCACCTGTAGCGGAAGGAAGTGACTTTTTGGGTTTAAAAAAAGTGGGGCTTCTGAATGGCAGTAGACTGTTCAACTTTAAAGAAATTGGTTTATTATGGGAAGTTTTAAATACTAGCAACTAATTCTAAAGATTTAATTTTTTTGTCTATTAGAAGTGAGACAATGGGCTGGAACGAGTGATTTACCAGTCAGTTCGTCTTACTGTTCCCTTGCCTTGCCATATTCAGAGGTCAAAAATTTTACATTTCTTAACCAAGTAACTCGAAAGATGTGATTATTTGTGGTCTTGACTTGTGCGCAGTATTCCTATTCTCTTTCGTGAAACTGGTGGAAGTTCTGTAGAAGTCAACGTTTTTTTAGGTTGTGGATCGTGCTCTTCAGAAATAATTTTTGAAGTTTAATTCATACTTTTTGTATTTTAGGTTTGTTGTTCGTTGGGGTGTTGGTTCTCTGATAACGGTTGCTGAAATGTACTGCTTACAATGGCTTATACCGGTATTTCTAATACCCAAACATTTTTTACATCCTACTTTCCTGATTGATCAAGCCCTGTTCATGTGGTTTTATATTATTGGTTTTTTTATTGAAAGGAGGTACTGTTTTTCAGCTTTATATAACCTTCAAAATACTTTTTTTAAGAATTGTTTACTGGTAGAAAAAAGTGGTGAAGCCACGGTCCACTAGTTTGAATGCTTAATTTTGTGAAAATTGAGCAATAATTTCAAGGAAAAATACGCTGCACTCTTTTTGATTATATTCTCTCTACTTATAAGCTTTCTTAGTTGTGGTGAAAGTAGTGAAAATCAGATGGAGCTGTTTTGTATCTGTTTCTTACTTTGTTTGCGAAGCGACATTTTCAATGGTTTTCTTGCAAATTACTTTTTAGGCCTTGCTGTATCTGTTCGATAATTTTTTTCACTGCTGTTGGCTTGTTGTGCTGGAACGATAGCGATTCTTGCATTTTTTGGCCTTCCTGTGATAAGATTTTTGGTGGCGAGATGTGCTCATACGTGCGAGACAACAGAAAGCTGATCTTTTAAATCGTTTTCTTTAATTTTGACCTTTCACCCCTTGACGAGGTTGTCTTTTTAGTTTAAAGTGAGTCTCTAAACTTTGCCCTCTACATGACGGTTGGGAATTCGGTGGTTTTAACTTTTGAAACGACCTTTTCGTCAAATATTCTGAAAGTGTAGTCTCAGGTTTCTTTTTTGAATCCAGCCAAAAACATAACATGAAACCTGTGAAGTTTTGTAATATTTTCTTGCTTACAAGATATATCTTAGTTTTCACGGTTTTACTGGCTTAAAATTTTCGTTTTTGGTTATCGATCTTTCCTAGCCTTGATCTACTGGCGAATCATGCCTTTCTGCGTCGTATTCAGATGTATTCCGCTATCCTGTTATAAGGATTGTTCAAGCGTACAGACAAGCAAGCTGTTTTTTGCCTAGGTAGTACACTAAAGTGAATGGCCGTAAGACTCAGATTATCTGGCTAATGATTAGGCAATACGCCAACAATTGGTTTTGCTGGGTAGTTGTTTCTTATGTATACTTGAAAGCTAAAAATACTTGCTTATATCTCTTTGTAAAAAAGCTGTATTTTTATGGTTTTTACTCAACAGTCAGGCATCTGTAGATTCAACTGTTATTATGTATAGTAAAAGAGCTTATGGTGGAAGATTTTTTAAATATTATTTTACTTGAAAAGATGAGCATCCAAATGTTATTACACTGCGCGGTGAACGTAGTTTTCTGAAACAGTTTTGTTTTCTTTTTGTGCAGTACTCATTTCCTCACTTAGCACCGTTCATCGAGTAAGTGTAGCATTTTTGGAGTTATTTTATATCTATCTTTCATTCGGGTTCTTTTTTTGTTAAAAATTCTGATATGGTTTAAGAGCAGTATGTTTTCCTCTGATTGTGTTTTAAAATCTGTCTGATAAATTTGTGTGATTTGTAAGGAACTTAGACTTATTGTTTTATGGATTTATATAGCGTATTGTTTTGACAAGTCCCCTATGGCTTGTAACATATTCCGTATCTTTATGTAAAGAACCGATTACTATAATAAAAACTTCGAGTTGGTGGGATTGATCAGTGAGCCTTTTTTATTCTTCTGTTGATTTATTGCCGGCTTTTGTGGACGTGTACCGTGCGAAGTGTGTTTAATCCCACTGGAGTTTTTATATTACAAACGCTGTAGTAGCTTGGTATTCTAGTATGGTGAACTACAGTTGGTTCAAAAGATTCTCCTGTGGGAACATCTATGCCCTTGATGTATATTTCAGCTCATGGTCTTATTCAGTATAGTCTCTAGAGTAATTTTAAAATTTAGCATTCTAGGTTTGTGAGGGCCATTGGCGTAAGTAGAGATGCGCAAGTTCTGTGATCGACAGTTGCAGTGAGGGTGGGCATATTTTGATGTTCCAGAGAAGCTGCTGTAGACATTTTTAGAGACCAACATGTAGAAGCAGCACCTTGTGCACGAGAATAGATAAGACTCAGTAAATCATCCTGTAGTTTTTACAACTTATCTGACCTTTTTTCAAAATACCAGTTTTTAGTAGCTGCGTGAAAAAAAA